GAGAATAATGTTCATTTTTGCTATTAGATTACGACTGCTACCCAGCAAGGTTTGTGACATAACGAAGGACCCTCATTGCCCGATATCATTTGCAATAAAACGTAATCGACCGCAAGTAATCTGGAATTCTCAACTAATGAAATTGTTTTTATCAATGAATCTCCGTAAAGAAAGATTCATTGATAAAAACATTTGATAATGCTGATATCATCATTAAGAACATCTCCACAGCATCATCTTTGGTAATCTGACAGTTGAATTTTTAATGGGTATTTCTTCTTGAGAAAGAGAGCAGAAGATCGACTCTTTCAATTGAAGGCGTTAACACCAACTTTCACTTAATATCATTTGTACTGCCCTGTTAGTTCTATGTCAAATTTCGTGTACAGGAAACAAAAATGGAGTGGAGAGTTAGCCGACTCACTGCAACTTTGTAAAAGAACGAGGGAAGCCCGGGCGACTATGTGATATGCTACGACGACATAATCTATTTCGAGCTCTGTTTCAGTTCCATACTCTAACTCAGCTGAACACCGGAAAAACTTAAATTTAGCTGAACAGCGGAAAAAGACTTAAGATTTATTAACTTTGAAAAAGGGAAAAAATTCTTCAGTTCAACATTTCTCGGGATGGGGTGTTTGACACAACAAGGTGGATAGCCTGGCGTTAGCCAGCGATCCGACTTCATATAAAAAGGAGGATGCCCGGCGTAGCCGGGCATTTCATAAGAAGGAGGAGAGCCCGGCGTTAGCTGGGCGATCCGACTGGTTTCTAATAATGCAGTAAGATGAACTTGAACTGTAACAAATTCATCATGGATGAAAAAATTACCAATCAAAGCGGAGAAATGGCTCCGCTAATGGAAAGCTTGGGGATCGAGTGATCAGTTCATTTTGATTTGAAATGAATAGAAATTTTAAACCCGTTTTCGAAAAACTCAAGCGCTCAAGCTCGCACATATCGACGATCAAACAGGACTGTTTTCCATGCGCGAGTCATTCGTTTAAAGCACAGTATTGTTTTGAGGTTAATGCTGTGCGACGACTTCTACTCTCAAATCACCGAAACAAGGTCATGAAAAATATTATGCGAATATTACGTCGAGAACGTCGAGAAACGCACTGTATTCATTCTGTGTTGTCATCTTGACCATAAGGCGACATCCTTCAACAACTCGCTCGAGACCAGGAATAGCGTTTTCGGAACCAGGCGGATTTTCATTCGTCAGAATAACCATGCTTCAAGCAGGCAATAGCAATACCTTCCATACCTTTCAATACCCTTATCAATATCACTCCATAACCCAGTAGCTCTCAACGGTTCAACGTCAATATGAACAGGAGCATAACAAGACTGTTACAAATTTATTATGCCAACGCTACAAAAGATAAACACAACAATACTATCACTACCGGTAAAAGAGAAAATGCTTGCAGGGGAGAATCTATCAGGTATTGCATACACATACATAACTGAGAGAAGTGTTAGAAACACGGTGGAATAGGGAAAACTGCGAGGGAGTGGCAACGACCTCGTACACAACTATAGATGAATTTCAGAATGATCACGTGAAGAGTACGAGATCCACACGAAAAACAACAAATAATGATAGAAGAACTCTAGAAACACGTCATACTACATAAACCGGGAGCAGTTATCAACGGGAAAATAGAACGAGTAGCAGCAACATTCAACACTTCTGAGAGCGACAACACTATACATCAGAGAGCAAATTGAGGTAGTAAGTGCTCTAAAGATGAAAACGCCCTCTTCGCCATATCGCTATCTTCCTATGCATCGCCCTCTCCCACCTGCGGCTTTGCTGCAGGTGCTGCTAGATCTTCGATAATATCATCAAGTAGATGGCGGAATTTGTCAAGAGCAGATTGTGGAATGGTTATCGAGGTACGGTAACCAGCCGGCTGCTTAACCTGGAAATATAAAGCCAATAAAATAAAAATGTCGCAGCTCTAAGAGTGGAGCTTCTCGCTGTGCTGCAAGAGCTCCTTTGGTGATTTACAGTTTGACCGCATTTGCTCTGCGTTTGATGGAACATCAATGCACAAGCAAATGAATTGGAGTATTGTCCCGAGGTATGAAAGCACTCAAACATTTGATATATTGCAGTACCAGCATGTAAAATGTATATGCTGCATGAGCGTTTGCCCAGAGAAAACTTTTCTTGGACATGACCATATGGGTATCGCTGCCAGCGTTACGAATGGGCAAATGTACCTCAGTCACGCGAACGAATGTTCCACGGTCATTCTTCCCAATGTCGAAATAAAAAGTTTTGTTGTTGTCAGCAGTTAGCTGCTTAGTCTTTGTCGCATCCTTAACTTGGTGAGATCAAACAAAAAATCCTCGGGCATTCATCAACTTGAGAAACGATGGGAAGTAAAAAACAACTCACAGTGCTATTTCCATCATTCAAGAAACCTTCCGAATATTTCTCCAACATTTCGTGGAGAGTGTCACGCATCTCCATCATTCCTTGCGCTGGAATAGCTATCTGGAACGAAACCAAAACTTTACAAATTCCTTCAAGCGGCTCATCAAAAAACTTACCTGAGCACGACTCATACGCGGATTGGCTACAGTCTGTGCAATGCGGAGGAAACGCCCACGCTGGTTTTCTTTGAGGTCCAGGTAGTAACGTCTTGAGTCAAAAGCCAACACTTCCGATTTGAGAGCACCATTCTGAATTGAATGCCGGGCAGTGAAAATGACTTCAAAAATGATTTCAAGACCCACTTCCGCGCTTCCTTCTGCTCCTTCTGGTAAGGTCTCGCTAAACTTTATCATTTCGCCCAGTTGCTCACACAGCTGTACAGCCGCAGACATAGTTAAAACGAGACGCGACTTGTAGTTCGACCCCATCTGGAAAAGATTTGAATCTTTCTTCAGTTCGTTTCCTTTCTAAAACTTTTAGGTAACCATCCAAAAGTGTTTGGCGGTAAAAGATCTTTATTCTGGGATGAAAATCTGTCAATTTCTCCACACTAAATATATGTAGACGCTACTAATTGGCACGTAGGGCTAGGATTTGAAATCTCCCAGTCACGTAGGGTTAGGATTCAAAAACTGTCAAGCTTCAGTGCACCAGCGTAATTTATTAACCTCGGACGACTGCTACGGAGTAAGAGACTGCTTTTCATCAAGTCAGCCATTTTGTCTGAACTAGTCAAAATGCTAGTTCAGTTCAGTCTAGCACCGAACTAGTACTTGTCTCACGCTGTATTTTCCCTGACAGGATTACGTGAATCTTGAGTGTTAGATACATTTCTTTCATTTCGTCAGGAACGTTAATTTTGAACACTGGTACACTACTCAGGCGTTTCCTCGACGGTGATGAGTCATAGTTAATCTAACGTTTCACTAGCTCCTTTGAAACATCATGATCGAATTTTCTTTGGGTAATCAGAACGAATAGGGTTAAGTTACATTCATCAGTTGTAGAAACTAACACCCTGATTGTAATTTCAAAGTTTCGATATGAAACTATACGTGAATAATTTTATATTTTTGAATGTTCGCTTATATTCAGGTAATCAGAAGGTTTATAAAATGTAATCCACCTCAGCAATTTTGATAAAGCGCCCGCGGTTATTCTGCTTTACATCCACATAATATCTCTTGTACTGAATGTTGAGCTGCTTGCTTGCGAGCTCCTCCTCGTTACGTCTGCTTCCAGCGCGTTCAACACTCCCTTCCGACATCGCTTCTATTCGTTTTCTTCTTCACACGCACGCGCACACTTCAATTACCCCTCCGACCACTTTCTTCAGCGATGATGGTAAACCAGCAAGCCCAAGATGAGCTGTTTTCTTCGAATCCCTGAACAATTTCAGTTGAAAACAGTAAACAGCTTCCAGGAAGTTGAAGTCTCAACAGTCGTTTCAAATTCGTGACATTGTAAGCGCACCAACACAAAAACTTAAGAGAAAACCACACATAATTTCCTAGATAAGCAAAGTGGAAGATACTCAAAAGCCAGTGCATAGTAAGTAAAAGCACCTTGTCTTTCATGGAAGGTTAGAAAGTTCGAAAAAACAAGTCTCATCATAATAACAATAAGTGAGAAAAAACAAACTACCCGTCGCAACTGAAGCGAGAGAATAAAACGGACTTTTTAGGGCAACCGCGCAACGACCGCTGCGCTTTAGTGATTGCTAAATGTGATTGGAGCATGAAAGTCTCCATTCAAACGAAGGTAGTTCGCAAAGATTGGATTATGTTCGTTACCTATGGGTGGGCTGGGATAAAACACTTACGTGCCTTTGGTGGATGCTTGTCTACATATTATTTAATGCCATCTGATGGTGGTCGCATTCTATGCCTCAGGCCAGTTACATAAGAGTAGGCACATACCTATCGGCAGTGTCAAGCCCCTAAGACCAAACAGCTTTCGACCGATTTCTAAGTTTTGCTAGTTGCATTCATAAGCTTCATTAAAAATTGAGTGTAACGGTGTACTAGAATGTACCTCCTTCTTCTAGGATTTTCTTCAAATATGCATTTCCGGCTTTTAAGCTACCCTGCTGTTCAACACAAACTGCTGCAAAACCCTTCGCCAACATGGGGTTAAGCATATCCATAACGACAAAAAAGTTCAAACCGACAAAAAAGAAGCAAGAACACACGGAACATAATCTCGTGCAATGTCAAATACCGTACCACCTAAAACTCGGTGCTCTCGAACCTTGCGTATCATATCAGAGGGAGCCGAAGTTGACGTAAGTATTCATTAACAACTATAACATGTTAATCTACTTCGAGTTCTGAAAGGAGGGTAAACGGTCCTGTTTGCTAGTTTAACTGATGGAGTATATCACTGGGTTTTGTGCTGGCGGTTCAGTGGTTTTTATGGACTCCGGTTACTACGGAGTAAAATGAAACAAATAAATAATGATCGCGCATGTTACCGCTAATAGAACACAGACTGCAATAAATAATCCTTTATCAAGCTACAGAACCTACGTCTCGCCTTTGACGTTGTTAGAGGTAGAAGTGAGGACCACGCTTTTTGGTGGTACCGCTCGACCCCGTATTATGAGGGGCGTAGGCTAACTTAGGGAGTCGCCTCAGACGGTGAGACGACGAAAAAGATATGAAAATCGTCGCCGTGGACGACGATACTACACCGGCAACGGAGTTTACAATTCAATGGGGGCTTAAGTGGGCATGTCTACATGACAAAAATGACAAGTTATATCTACAAATGAGAGCTCGACAGGTGTTCTCCTGTTGTTGTTGAATGGTTGACGACGTATGGCAGTGGCTATAAGGTTCTATGGGCTTCTGACAGTTTCTTTTCTGCGGGCCGAAGGCGCCATTATTGTGATACAAAGAGAATTAGTATTAAATGAATGAATTACCATGAGTTCCAAGGAGATGAATGCTAAGGCGTCTTTCCTGGACAATCTTTTTATACCTGCCAACTTTCATGATCAAGTAGAAGTTTGCGCCGTGTTAGAGCTGCATAAGAAAAGAGCTACATTGTACCGATCGTCAGTATTGCTATACTTTGCCGCACGAGGAGAATTTTTGTGGGGTTTGGGGTCATTTGGGGGGCGAACAGATATAGCTGTCTCATTTAAGTCTCATCATATTGATTTGCCGGTCATATTGTCTGTATAGCATTGCATAAAGTTTAAAGCAATCAAAATACTAACGTTTAGGTAAATAGTAACTGCAGGCAGTTATTTGAAGTGGAGTGTGATCAAAGCTCATTTTAGTATCCAGCCGTTTTTTGCGTATGTACTTCGGAGAAAACAGCAATACACAATCGATGAGAGTAAACCATGCTACTGTCTCGAAGATAACCCACTACGAGGTCGCCGCTCTACAGAGGCGGGTGTGTACATCATCAAACTTAATCTCTTTAGGCTAAATACGAACCTAAGGAGCTGGGTCGGGGATGCCGCAGGAGTAAGTAGCTTATTTTTTTGATATTTGAACTGTATCATAGGAATTGCTATTAACTCCGCGTGAAGCCAAAAATGTGAACGGCGGGTGACTGAACAGACTGTCGCCTAAACCTACACCCTGAAGAAACGCCGGCCGAGTTTTT